AGTGGCCAACAGACACATGAAAAAATGCTCAGGATCACTAGCATATCCTAGGCAATTCTTCTATAAAACGTCAGATAGACCAGCTGTCCTGAGAAAAAAAATTAGTCACCCAGTTTAATGAGATATTCTGTTCCAATATTCAAAAGTTTTAAACATTGTAAGGCAGGGATCAGCAACTTAAGATGAAAAGGGCAAGATAGAAAATATTTCAGTTTTGCAGGCCATATGATCTCTATTGTAACTACTCAGCACTGATATTGTAGGAAGTCAGCCACAGGCAATATGAAAAGGAATGAGCACAGCTGTGTTCCAATAAAATCTTATTTTAAAAAATTCAGAGGACTGGACTTGACCCATGGGCCATAGTTTGCTGACTTCAGGAAAGAATAGCTTAACTCATCTCATTTCTTTCTTTCAGAAAAATGAGAACATGAAAACCCATCCTTTCTTTTTTCACAGTAGAGAACTAAAATAAATATATAAAATATTTAAAGAAACAGAGAGGGTCAGTGATCTTAATTGAAAAAATCACTAAGAGGGGTAGGGGGTAGAAAGAAACCCTATGGTACTTTTGCTATCTGTCTCTCAATCTTTCTCAGTCGGGTTCTGTGTTCTTGTACAAAAGTCCAAAAATAACTAGAGAAATCTGTTTGAACAACAATAGAGAAATGGCCATTTATGCAAATATGCCAACATTATGCTCAAAGGCAAATACCATTTCTGTTTTGAATTACTGAAGAAACATGTACAGTAGATTGAAAACAAGTAACTCTTTAACTATATAGTAACTTCTGTTAAGGATCTTAGCTCTCTGCATTCAAAATAAAATTCTAAAATATGTGAACTATGTCTGATTGTATCTGAGCCACTATCAATGTAGTCTCTTGTACTATAAAACTGCAGGGAAAACAAAGAGCAGCACAGTTTTGTGAGAATTGTGGGTTTGAGCACATCTCGGAAGAATGGCTTACACTAGATACAACATACAGACCTAGGTGGGAAGGGCCTGTCTTGGCGGTCCCAGTAAACCTTCCACCATCAACTTTCTGCAAGCCCTAAGCTCTTGCCTGGATGCCATCATTGCTTGTAACTTCCCTCTTAAGACAATTTTCTCACATAACCAGGACCCCCATAAAGTCCTCACCACCTCCACACACACACCTCATGGGAGCCCTACCTGAAAGAAGAAGTCACCCTTTTTCCACGAATTTCTGAAAGTCCTGGCTCTAGACCATGTCCTCATCACTACAGTAAACACTTTGTGATGCACCTGCCTGAAAGGGGGCCCAGGAAAGACCCCGCTATCAGCTGGTGTTCAGCAAGGAAGCACAGGGACTGTGATATGAACATCCCTTCCACAGGCAGTCCTGAACACTTATTAGAGCTATGCTAACATTGCTATCACTATCCCACTGCCCAGCCTCAGCTCACTCAATCCTAATGAAACGGATTTAAAGAAAAAAGAAATTTGATCAAATTTGAGAAATAAAAGATAGGGGCCAATAGAAAGCACAAAGTAAATGTAAAGTCCAGAGGAACAAGCACCTTCATTGAGTTTGAGTTCAAGTTATCAGGTAAAAACAGAGATTGTAAGACAGAACTTTTTAAATGCTACTAAATTATTTTAATAAAATTAGCTACCTTGAACCTGATGAAACAAATAGAGTGAAAGTTAAAGAATAGAGGATCAACATAGCATGTGGGTGCTACACAAAATAAAGGTGGGATACCTATACATATTACTTGCAAAGTTTGTGGGAAAAGGTTCTTCTGAAAATGTAATTACAAGTTTTAACATTATAACAAAATCTTGAAATTCAGGCACACTTTTCTCATAATGTGAATTTTCGATTAACTGTTTTATTTATTTATTTGAGAGACAGGGTTACAGACAGAGAGAGAGAGAAAAGAAAGGTCTTCCATCCACTGGTTCACTCCCCAAATGGCCGTCCATTAACTTTTTGAAGTACCCTCACAATAACATTAGACAAAATAGTCTGTGAGGCAAATACTGAAGTACTAAGTATGAATGAAATCATTACAAAATAATAAAAAACCAGTACTCACTAGGAAAATACTACAATTCTTACATTGTGTGTATCTTTCCTGTAAGCATTTAAAAATTGTCACAGTTGCAAATAAAAATGGTCAAATATCAGTGAGACAGATTAAAACATACATTTTTCTCAAGGACATTTAGAATAGTTTTAAAAATTGAACTCATTTACGTAATAAAATGCCTCAAGAAATTTCAAAAAAACGTTCCAATACATCAGATTCTCCTCTCCGACCACAGAGCAATAAAGTTAGATACCAAAATCAAACAAAGATCCCTTAAAATATAATTTCTCCATATGTTTAGAAATTATAATATACTTGTAAGTACTTTATAAACCACAGGGTAAATATCATGGAAACTAGAAAATAGTATAAGCTACACAATAACAATGCTACCTAGCAAAATCGATCCTTAGACACTTACAGATTTAAATGAATTTATCTTGGGGTATCGTAGTGCAGCAGGTTAAGGTTTGACACTGACATGGCATTCTGTATCACAGTGCCTTTTCAAGACACAGATATTAATCCAGCTCCTTGCTAATGTGTCTGGCAAAGCAACGAAAGTTGCTGGAAGTACTTGGGCCCCTGCCACCCAGGTGGGAGACCCAGGTGGGTTTCCATGACCCTTGCTTTAGCCTCCCCCAGCCCTGTGCATTAAGGCCATTTGGGGAGTGAATTAGCAGATGGAAGATCTCTTTCTCTCTCTCTCTCTCTCTCTCTCTCTCTCTCTCTCTCTGCATTTCAAATAAATAAATGAAACATTAAAAAGAATAAAATAAAAAATGCATGTGGGATGGCACAGTGGCACAGAGATTTAAGCTGCTCCTTAGGATACTCACATTCTATTTAGAATGCCTGGTATAGATTCCAGCTACTCCATGCTTCCTTAACGGCTTAAGTACTTGGGTTCCTGTGACTCATGAGAGGGAGCTCCTGGCTACTAGCTTTGGGCTGACCTAGTCCCGCTATTGCAGGCATTTGGGGAGTGAACCAGCAGATGGGTGATCTCTTTCTCAGTGTCTTTCTTCCTATCGGTCACTCTGCCTTTCAAAGCAACTGGCCAATCATAAACAATACACACAATAGAAGAGAAAGATTAAAAATCAATGAGATAAACATCCAATTCAGGAAGTTAGAAAAAGAAAAATTGAATAAAGAAGGAAGTAAATATTAGACTACAGAAACATAAAATGGATTATAAGAGAGAGGACAGCAATATGCATCTACTACAATTGAATTATTTGATTAAGATATATACTCTAGAGAAATCATATCCTATACAAAGAAAGAGACATATACAAGGATATTTTAGCAAATTAATAACACAAAATACAAGTGACATGAAGAGTAGAAAGGCTAAACATATAGGAGTATATGTATCCAGTGTAATTCTATTCTACACAGAAAATAAAATGAATACATTGTCTTTACATAAATAAACATGAATAATTCAAATACTGCATAAAATACAAGCAAGCTGTCAAAGTATACACCCACCATAAGATTCACATACAATTTAGACTTTGAATGAATAATTAAAAATGGCTTAAAGATGCATGTATAAATAAATTTTATGAAAGACACATACTGGAAGAAAAGCACTGAATTTAAGATGGGATAGCCCCATTATGAGAGGAAAAGGAATCTTTAGAGGGATAAAGAATAAGTTTCAACTGTATTGTAACATTAATTTTCTTAAAAAAGATAAATTTATTTATTGTACTATGTTATGTATTTTTCTACATCTGGCATGTTAATAATGAACTATAATACATGAAACTATACATTAGAATAAAAATAAATCTCATAATCTAAGGAAATTACAAAACAAAGAAACTATAAAAGTTCAGAGGAATACATCTGTCATTTCAGTTTCATTAAAATTATTCCCAAAAACATAAATAACATTGCAAAACACATAATACATCAGGATTAAACATTTTCAAAAATATAATAACATAACAGAAAAGCAGTCTGTATCTAAAATATTAACAAATTTTCTACACTTTCATAAAAAAGACAACAAAAAAATTGATAGGAAACAATAAAATGGCTACTAAATTAATGAAAGAAATGGATAATCAAGAAATGAGGTATTATTGGGAAAAAATTTTAAATACTGATGTTTTTGAATGTTGGAAAGGACATAAGAAAATGTGCTGGTACACATTTTGGCAGATGTATAAGTTATTGAGACAAACTTAAGTCAATTTGGCAAACTTTATCAGAAGCCTACAATATGCATATCCTTTAGTATTGCAATTCCAGAGCTGGACATAAGCTTGTTCCAACATATCTGTGACAGTCAAAATTTTAAGACACCCGCATGTCCATCAGTAAGGGAATAATCAATGAATTATATGAGTCTTTCCCAGAAAATACTACCTGACCATTAAAAGAAATGAGGTAGATTAACAACAATACCTAACATTACTCAATGGTGGGCATGATTCTAAGTATTTTACACGTCAACACATTTTATGTCAAAGAACTCTAGGAGGTAAATCCTATTCTCCACCTTTTAAATATGAGGAAACAGAGACCTAGGAATGTGGATAAGTCATATAAGATAACTCAGGAAATGTGGCAAAGCAGGTTTTGGATCCTGCCAGCTAAATAGGAGAACTCATGAAATTTACCACTGGATGATCCTGCCTCCTGAATCGAATTACATGCAAATGTCCCAAGTGCAAAAACAATGCACAGAACAGGGAATATAACATGGCAGGCTATGCATATATGTTTGTATAGAAAAGTGATTGCAAGATCACACACCAAAGTGTTGACAGTCATTACGTGTATAGTGGAAAGGTGCCTAAAGCAAGCTTTCTATTAGATCATATTATTCTTCTGATGGAACCAACAACCGTGTCTGTGTATATTGCCTGGGTAATCAACACAACTGGAGTCCAGAATGATCTAATCAAACCATATCTCACCTTCTGGTACAGACGGCCTACTCCCATTTCCTTTGTCCACAACCTTGACTCTGGGCTTAGGATCCTTTCTTTTTTCTAAATCTTTAACTGGAAGAAAAGTAAAAATACAGAAACATGTTATGTACAAATCTGAAATAAAATCTTCAGTGAGTTTCACTGAAATCCTTGCAAGCCCTAAACATATTATTAGAAATTAGCTCCATGGTACAAACTTATCCCCAAATATTAGAAACACTATTTTTTTTTCAAGAGAAGGTGTGAAAAGCGCTTAAGAAATTTGATCATTTTGGGCAGATCAGATAAATTTAATGGCTCATAGCTGATTTAAAATCAGTATATTTACCCCATCTCATTTGCAAAGGAATGAAGGGCCAACGGACTAATACGTATCTCATAAAACTAGGAACTGTAGGCAAGGATCCAAACCACATCTTCAAGTCTCTGGGTTTAGGCTATAAGCTTGACCCTCATTCTAGAAAGATCTGAGTCATGAACATCCTCATTTGTAATTTCTCTATCTGCAGCAGAAAATAGAGAACCCCATAATAATTTTCTTCCAAACTTAAAGAAAATGTTCATTAATAAATGGTAATGTTTCTCTGTCACTTCAATTAGAAAATATTCAGGGACAAAAATTTGCCTTTGGTGTTTGCATGCATTCATACCAACCCACACCATTAGTTTAATTTTCCACTGCATTTTCTGCTTGCAGCCCCACCACATTTTTCCTGCCATTGCTTGGCATCTTAAACTATTTGAAACAGCCAAGACCAGTGCCAGATGTCCAGAGTTTCTGCACAGATATGAGTTGAGTAAGATACCTTGCAAAAATGTAGAAGTGAGCCAGGGGCAAGATGGATCATTCCATTTCTACATTCACTTTATGAAAATCAGCAAATTTACAGAGGAAGCAAGGATTTCCTCTGAACCATCCCTGCTGTCTCTGGCACATTGTTCCATTCCCCTACTCTTGATCACACTCACTTCCATCTTTTGGCTCAAAGGCCATCTCACTCCAATTCTATTGTCCCTTTCCTCTGAACCTCCCTTGGCTTCTGATAACCAGACATTAAATTCCAAGGTTATAAAAATCACTAAGAACACAAGATGGTTTGATCCTGCTATGCCACTGACCCAGCATATTATGTCCATCTTTTCTTAGACTTCATTCTCTGACTTTGTAAGCACTGGCACTTTGGAGCACACCCTTTCCAAAAGTCTATTCTTTTTGCTTAATTCTTTAGTTTGTTCATGTTGATAGAACATTAATACAAGTAGAACAGATTTAATATAGTTCATATATACAAGTCTAAGAACATTTTTCCCTGCCCACCCTTGTTTCTCTGTTTTTACAAAGGACTTACCCCAATTCTCTTTCATACCTCTAACCCCTCCTTCACATTCTCCTTTTTTTTTTTTAAACTTGACAGTTAGAGTTATAGACAGTGAGAGAAAAAGAGAGAGAGACAGAGACAGAGACAGACAGACAGACAGACAGGTCTTCCTTCCATTGGTTCACTCCCCAAATGGCTGACATGGCCGGCACTGAGCCGATCCGAAGCCAGGAGCCAGGTGCCTCCTCCTGGTCTCCTATGTGGGGGCAGGGGCCCAAGCACCTGGGCCATCCTCCACTGCACTCCTGGGCCACAGCAGAGAGCTGGACTGGAAGAGGAGCAACTGGGATTAGAACCCGGCGTCCATATGGGATGCCAGCACTGCAGGTGGAGGATTAACCAAGTGAACCATGGCACCAGCCCCCACATTCTCCTTCTTTGGATCCTTCATTTCCATACCTGACACAATCATGTGCTAAAGCTGCCTTGCATCTCTGTACAAACTCCCTGTAATTTTATCTTTCCGCAACTGAAATGCTCACCCTCCTATAGATCACTTCCAAATTTGTATATCAAGCCCATCCACACATGGGCTGTTGCCCCAAATTGCTTACGCTTTCTAAATGAAAAATGTAGGTCTGCAATTTTTATATAAGAAAAAGTGTACTGAGTGATGCTGGAAGTAGACACAGATCTGAAAGAGAAGAATTCTAGAGGAGGAGATTCAGAACACTTCACTGGAAAGGCAATACTTGAGCCAGACGTTGAAAGATGGGCTGGATGTTACAGGCAGAGGTTGCTAAAACATCAAAGAGGAAAAATGGTGGTCAAAAGCAAAATTTGTAAAAGTAGGGCCAGAACACCATGGTACAGATGCAAGAATAAATAAGTCACTGGGAAAGTTGGGCAGCCACATCACATATAAAAGGTGTAACAGCTATGTTCCACCAAGCTATTGTACCTGTCCTATAGAAGCAAAATAAATCAGAAAATAGCCTGTCCTGAGCAAAGGGTATAACCACCACTACCATGCTGAAGTTAAGTTGCTATGTGCTGAAGTAAGTTCATCTGCACAGGCACATGTCATCACACCCATTTATGGTAGAGAAAACCAAGGCTAGAAGTAGCCGAGTTGCTTGTGGGAGATGTAGAATCATAATATCTGGTAGATCACACATGTCTTTATGTCTTTAAAATCCAATGATTGTTTTGTATGCTTTCCTTTGTATCAAAAAAGAATGGGCTCATAAAGAATCCAAATCACAAGTTTATACCCACAAGATTTTGTCTTTTTTTTATTTTTATTTATTTATTTGACAGGCCCAGTGGACAGTGAGAGAGAGAGACAGAAAGAAAGGTCTTCCTTTGCCGTTGGTTCACCCTCCAATGGCCGCCACGGCCAGCGCACTGGGGCCGGCACACCGCGCTGATCCGATGGCAGGAGCCAGGTACTTATCCTGGTCTCCCATGCGGGTGCAGGGCCCAAGCACTTGGGCCATCCTCCACTGCACTGCCAGGCCACAGCAGAGAGTTGGCCTGGAAGAGGGGCAACTGGGACAGATCCGGCGCCCCAACCGGGACTAGAACCCGGTGTGCTGGTGCCGCAGGGTGGAGGATTAGCCTAGTGAGCCGTGGTGCCAGCCAAGATTTTGTCTTGATCAGAACTTTCCTGGATCCAATCAGGAAAGATTTCTGGGTAGGAAAAATCAGCCATTAACTCCATCTCACAAGGAGCGAGAATGTTAATTTACATGCAAAATGGAAAAAAAAAGCCCTTTCAAATACAGTTATTTTAATTTCATGTCTACAAACTGTTTGGGCAGAACTAGTATCTCTAGCCTGCCAATAAAACAACAGATATATACAGATAAATGCGTACATATCATTTATCTAGCTAACCAATTAGACTGTTTCATTATGATCCTCTAGAGCTAAGCAAGCTGTAATCAAACTAATTTCCTTAAAAATGCTTTGAATAAGTAGCTACAGGAAAGTTTTTTAAAAGTCTGTTTCTTCTACTGCTCAATCAGTAGAATATTTGAATTAATCAATTGGAAAACCTTCAGATTCAGACTGAAGGAAAAGGAATTATTTCTTCCTATCCCTTTCACTGCTTCTCACAAACTTTAAGCAAGTTATTTGGTCATGTAGGAATACCAGAGGACAGAATTAAAGGGCAGTGCCAATACAATGAAACAGAGGCTAATTTTACTGAAAATCACATTAAAAATATTTTCCTGAGCTTCCAGACAATGTGATTCTCAAAAGAATGTAACATTTATAACTTCCGTATGTCACGCTGACAGGCGGATTTACCAAACGTCTTTGTTCAGAACTTTCAGGAGGCAGCAGCTGTTTGAACAAAGTTTTATTTTGTTTTAATGTTTTAAGAAGCCACAAAAAATGGCTGACAAACTATTGCTTAGGAGAAGAAGAAAACAAGAGAGGGAGGAGTACAAAATCCTGGTGGAACATGGCTGCACAGAGTCCGGAACTGTCTTCCAGACCTGCAGATTCATCCTGTGACAAGACTGGAAAAGCTATTGTTTAAAGTAAGAAAGAAAAAACAAACAAACAAACAAAAAAAAAAAACCAAGAGGAAAGTGGGAGGTGCAAGACCCTATAGACCCTCTAGATAAACAAGATTGGCCATAAGTGACTAATTGCTAAAGCCAGGTGATGAACATTTAGAGATTCATCATAGTATTTGGCTAATTTTTGTTATTTTGTTTAAAGTTGTCCCCAGGAGTAAGTTGGGTTTTATAGTCTATTTTAGCAATAAAGTAACGGAAAGTTAGCCAGGATAAGCTCACTATACCAAAAAATGGAGCAACTCTCTTCACAGAGTCTTAAATATGTACCTCTCCCTAGTACTTAACATTGTATTTATTTGTAAGTTTGCTTGTCATAGACATGGTCACCTAATAGCCCCTTAATAAATGGATTACCTATTGGAAAGGGTTAAATCCTCTGTTGTATAGGCTGTTTTGGTGGAGGCTGAATTACATTTGTTGGATTCCAAAGATGTGGGCATGGCTCATTCGTTCAATACCTACTGAGTACCTATCATTCCAGGTACACGACATGCAGATGCAATAAAAATGAGAAATAAAATTAATCAAATCTCTGCTTTCTCAAAGCTTGTGGGCTTGTTCGTCAGGGACACAGAGAAGTAAAAAGACGATTGTGATGTGCTGTTATGGGACAACTAGAGGAGAAGTATGGAAGCACATAGGGGAAATGTCTGGTTAAAGTTTGGGACACAAGGGTCAAGCAGGGCATTTGGAAACCAAAATACAATGGACAGAGAAGAATTCAGCAAAATAGGGAAAGGGAAGACAGAGATGAGAATAATAATAATAATTCATGGAAGCTGAATTAAGTCTTTAAGGTCTCTCCAGTTCTAAAAAATCTAGGAAATTGACCCTACAAAATATAAACCATAGACTTAAGTGCAATGCTGGACAGAATGCCAAAGTGGTACATACTTCTGAATTGGCCTTGAGCTGGCTTGCTTTCTTTGTCTTTGTTGTATGCAATAATTTGAACTGTGTAATTCTGTTCTGGCATAAGACCTTGAATAATTGCTTTAGTTGCAGTGTTCTGGAGATTTAACTGATTGGTTTTTCCACCTATAAAACAAAAAAATGAAATATTTAAAATTAAGGTTAATAGTGTGCATTCAGGAATTTTATTAATCAACAATCAAGATTTTAAAAGGTGAAGACTTTTTAAAATTTTGTGCTTTAAATTTACAGTGTACACATGTTTTGAAGTATGTCAAAAGATGAAGATATTAAAATATTGATAATAGTATTTATTTGTATTCTTTTTCTATTACAGAACTGAATCAGTTGTCTAAATGAGATAAAAATATATTCACAAAAATCTTTCATCATAACACACTGTTGCTTTTTTTTTTTTTTTTTTTGACAGGCAGAGTGGACAGAGAGAGAGAAACAGAGAGAAAGGTCTTCCTTTTTGCCGTTGGTTCACCCTACAATGGCCACCGCGGCCGGTGCACCGCGCCGATCTGATGGCAGGAGCCAGGTGCTTATCCTGGTCTCCCATGGGGTGCAGGGCCCAAGCACTTGGGCCATCCTCCACTGCACTCCCTGGCCACAGCAGAGAGCTGGCCTGGAAGAGGGGCAACTGGGACAGAATCCGGCGCCCCGACCGGGACTAGAATCTGGTGTGCCGGCGCCGTAAGGCCGAGGATTAGCCTAGTGAGCCGCGGCGCCGGCCCAACACTGTTGCTTTTATACACTAAGGAAAGCCATATTGCACGATGAGACCACAGCAAGCCCTCAACATCAGATACTCTCTTTAAGGAAAGAATTCCATCTACAAAATGAAGGGAGACAGAGGCAGGCTGCATGTAATCATCCACACTGGAATTTTCCCTGTGGCCTCTCTAGAGGAGTCAAAGTTTCCTTGAAGCACGAGAAATTTAATTATCTCACCATCAGTGGCCCAGGATGCTGGAGGGACTCCTCACTGCCTGGCTACTTAAAAGTTAACTTGGTTCATGAAAAGATTAAAAATTTCATTAGCTCTTCATCAAATAGGACTATTTTCTACAGATTTCCTGAAAATGTTGTTGGTTAAATAATCAATTAATGCAAAATTCCAAGTATACCTTTATTCTCTGACTTCTGGCAATGATTGCTGTGACTGAGAAAAGGGAAATGAACCTAAACTTTTGACCTTCTAGCAGAAGCAGTAATAAGGGATCAAAAATTTGCAGTTAATTAAATATATTATAATGTATTTCATCATACTCTAATAAAATTGTTAATGCTGAAATTTGATGTTGCTATCATCCATGCTACTTGCTACTAGAGAGCAAAGCTAAGCTTCCTCTTGCCAAAACCCATTTCCTAAAATACATTTGTGTCCAAGATATTAAATTTGGTTTCACAAACTTCTGTCATTTAAAATTTATCTACTACAAAATATACCAAATAAATCTAAATGTGTACATAAAAAAGAAAGAAGTTCCTTAGAAAACCAGTATATTCTGTAGATATGCCTGTTTGAGAAGCATAGGGTATATTATTTTATTAAACTCATTGAGAATCCTGCAATAAAATAGATATAAACCAGCATTTCCTAAATCTAATTTTCCATTCAAGCATTTGATTGCATAATAGCATTGAATATTCCACACAAGACTATTAAACATACTTTGAGAAACACTGGCATTAACAATGCTTGGACCACATCTCACAGTGCTAAAACAGCTAAAACTTATTTTGGCTAGATGCATTTATTAATTTTTTATTTATTATATTTAATCAAGTAGATACCTGAGTGTCAAGACCTTGATTGCCTAGAGCCACTGATGTAAGAACACTGAGTAAAATAAACCCAATAATTCACCATGAAATAATTTTCTTTCACTCTCAATTTTTGTCACTTGAGGTGTTTTAAGTTCTAGATATCTATTTTGGAGGTATATCATTGCTGAGGGGGACTGAAGGATCAGGTTGACAACTGATTCTGAGGTTATCATCAAGTCATTACTGAGATTCTATGATTACTCAAGGAAACCTACGTAGGCTACTTAATAGTTTGGTTTTATTTCCAATTTATCAGGAAAATTTAATCTACTGATAACCTGGGAGGAGAAATATTATCTTCCCATAAGACATAGGGAATTCTCAGTAACATCTATCTTATTCTTTAGAATCATGATGATGTTCACAAATCTCTTAAATTTTCCATGAAAACTTAACTTTCTAAAACAAAATATATTTTTAAATGTCAAAGGCATTTCAAATTTGGGCCATATTCCAAAATGAAATCTCTAAGCTAGGTTTAAGATTAAGTTATGCCTTCTATATAGGTTTACATAGGAAAAGTTAACATCAGTATACTCAATGGAAAGTCATTCTAATGAGCTTACGGATAATATTTAACAAAAATGTCCATTTTTGTGACCAAGCAAGAAGTGCAGTATTTTATCTACTTGTTTTGTTTGAGATTTAAAGTCAACTATTAGTAGTTTTGAAAGGCTTCCAACAGAAAAAGTCTAGCTCCATAAAACCACTTTTATCAGCAACAAAAATTTTAAAATAATTATATTTGTATAAATATAAATATTACACTAACCTACCATTAATACTTATTATGTAATATGTAAAAATGGATCTTTGTTCCAATATGGGAAGCAGGATACACAGCAGACTCATAGAATGGCAGATGCCCTAAGCAGCACTCTGGCCTTGGGATCAGCCCTTAAGGCATTCGGATCTGGCTAAAAAGCCCATGAGAGTTTCTCAGGCATGGAAAGCCAAGACACTGTGGCAAAAAAAAAAAACTAAATGAAAGATCTCTATGAGTGAGATCCCAGTGGAAAGAATGGGCCATCAAAGGAGGAGGTACCTTTCTCTGAAGGGAGGAGAGAACTTCCACTTTGATTATGGCCTTGTCTAAATAAGGTCAGAGTTTGTGAACTCAAAAGGCTTCCATAGCCTTGGCAGCTCATGACAAGAGCCTCGGGTGATGACTGATGTCATAAATAAGAGTGTCAATCATTAAATCAACAATGGGAGTCACTGTACACTTACTCCCCATGTAGGATCTCCGTCCTTAATGTGTTGTACTATGCAAATTAACAGTAAAACTACTACTCAAACAATACTTTATTCTTTGTGTATCTGTGTAGGTGCTGTCTGTTGAAATCTTTACTTAGCATATAGTAAGTTGATCTTCTGTATATAAAGATAATTTTTTTTTAGTTTTTTTTTTTTATCTTTTATTTAATGAATATAAATTTCCAAAGTACGACTCATGGGTTACAATGGCTTCCCCCCCCATACCGTCCCTCCCACCCACAACCCTCCCCTTTCCCACTCCCTCTCCCCTTCCATTCACATCAAGATTCATTTTCGATTATCTGTATATAAAGATAATTGAAAATGAATCTTGATGAAGAATGGGATGGGGAGGGATTGGGAGATGGGAGGGTTGTGGGTGGGAGGGAAGTTATGGGGAGGGGAGCCATTGTAATCCAAAAGTTGTACTTTGGAAATTTATATTTATTAAATAAAAGTTTAAAAATAAATAAATAAAAATGGATCTTTGAAGAAATGAGATCTGATGCACTAAAGAACATCTTTATAACAATCATAGGTACCATTCAGCACTTACTATATGACAGCTTCTGTTCAAAGTGCTTTATCTTGATTAATTCATTTAATCCTTACAAACAGTGCTTCTTGAATTTAATGTGAATAGGAATCACCTGGAGATCTCTTCAAAATCCAGTTGCGACTCAGGAGGCTGGGGGTAGGCTCAATATTCTGCATTCTTAATAAGCTCTTCAGTAATACCAATGCTGCTTGTCCCTAGATCAACCTTTATTTGCAAGCTCATAAAAGCTCCATGAGTTGGATATTAATGTTGTTCACATATTTTATAAAAGAAGAAACTGAGGCACTGAGAGATTTAAAATTTTCCTGAATTACACCACTTAACAGTGAGAAAACCAAAATTTGAACTCAAGAAATTCTGTTGTTAATCCTATGCCTTGTCTCTGTGATACTCATGTAACAGTGGCAACTTCCTTATGTGTCCTCTATTGTTTATTTATTTGTGTAATATTTATTTGTGTAATAGAAACATACACTATGAGAAAAAAATATTCAGCCAAAATGAAATATTTCACATTACTACTTTATATTCACAATTAATAAATCTGTTCAATTTATGTATTTCCTGCTTTAACTCACTTATTTTCACAATGTCTACTAAGCCTTTATCATTTTAATGTCATGATGTCAACAATTTCATTCAACAGATAACAACTATTAGACACCCAAGTATATTGGAGCTTTTATGAGTCAATGGATCCAAAGTACTCATTCTGGTTGAAACAGGGTAAGACTTTTTGATAGTCTAGAAACTTGGCCTACAGAGAATTACAGTGACTCCAAGAGTCACCCTTTACACTTTTGGGAACACTATTTTCTCAAATAATGTACAATATGTCAATCTCAAAACATTTAAAAAATGGAAAGCTTGTAAATGATCCTAAAGAAACCATGTTTTTAGTTGCTTGTGGATATAAAAAGTTGCTAATGTTCTAGAAAAGAGAGTCAATTATTTTTACCTGAAGCCGGAGTCACAAGAAGTTTGTATCCACCAAATTTCCCTCTTGGAGCCTTCCATGAAATCTGAATACTGTCATGAGATAATACACTATATCTTAACCTTGTGGGTGGAGCTACTGAAAAGGAAAAACAAAAACAGCTTCAACAACAAAATATTTAACCTTCCATTTGTGAAACTGAAAAGTCATTTTATTAATGTAATAAAAATGCACAAGACTTCACCAGCCTTAAATATATTCTTTCTGCATATTCACTAATGAATTGATCAATTTTCAAAACAAAACAGATCTAAGAGCCTTTGGTTTTTTACTCAAAGCACATTTGTTCAAATAGTTACTGCCCTTATGACAAGGAACTAAGACTTATTGTTCGAACTCAATACTCTAGCCTCATTTAATAACTAAAGCCAATCTTATAAAATTGCTTTCATTACTATTACAATGATGAATATTTCTACTTGGAACATGTGAGTTTTTATGGTCTACTGGGATCTGTTGTATGCTTTTAGGTTTTTCATTGTGGTGATCCAGTATTTCTGATGAAATGATAATCTGAGAAGGCTATTACAAACAATTAGTAATAAGATACTCATTTAAAAATATTTGAGAAAGAGATTATAAAGGCATTCAGGACCAAACACAAGATAACCATGTTTCATAAACTTTGATCCACTCTTCAAGTGTAACTGATTTATACCTGTCAGAAAGACATATAGCATATGGTCATGACTCAGCTCAGAATATTTAATCTTTTCTAACAGTTCACAAAAATGAGGAGGTCTGTTTACTTTTTGTGTAAATCATTCAAACTTCCAAACACATTTTTGGCATCCTATGTAAATGTTCCAGAATTTCAAAAGAAGTACTTAAGAAATATTTTATTATGTAATATCTAAATTCATTTGTTTAAAATAAAAAAGAAAAGTTAATATTTAACAGATAACACTCATCTTTCACTTTTATCATCAACATTTTGTTCCCCTACTTTAGGAAACAGAGTACAGGGAAAGTAATAAACATTCTCCTAACTAGGTATGTAGCATCAGATGGGGTTTGGGTATTTGTTTCCCACTTTCATCACTGATTAGCTAAATAACCTTGAGCAGGTGATTATTTCTTCAAATGCCCTGGTTTCCATATTTTTAGAAAAGGTGACAGCAATACTTTTTGCAAAGGAGAGATGATAACTTTAAATAGGATGATGGATATAATATACTATAACTGGTGGTTAATAAATATTTGTTCCCTTTTCCTTTTTTTTTTATCTAGTGGTTGAGCACAAAATTTCATTTAATCCTCACAAACATACATTGTTATTCCAGTTTTATAAAGGAACCACAGAGCAGCTGAGAGACTTGTCTGAGTTCACATGCTGATGAAGAGCCATCTCAGATCCACTTGAAAGGCACTGTTTCCTTGAAAGGAGTTCCATATTAAGTCACCCTTCACTGAGCTAGATGACTGAAGGACTTTTGACCTTAACCTATCCACTCAACTAAAATCAGTAAGAACAGAATACACAATCTTGAGTAGTTTTCCTTTTGCAGTTGTCCTTTATCATCTTTAAGGACAGGATGTTAGCCATCAGAACAAAAACATTAGATTCCTATTCTTAACCTGATGTGAATGGAAGAAAACATTTACATTTCTCTGTTAATTTAAAATTATGAATCTATCCTAAGATCAACTATTTTGGGGGTCAGCATTGTGGCGAACCAAAAAATACCACTGCCTGTGACCCTGGCACCACTGCCTGTGACCCTGGGCATCAGTTCACAACTAACTGCTCTACTTCCAATCCAGTTCTCTGCTATCCATGTGGGAGACTCGGATGAAGCTTCCAGCTTTGGCCTGGCCCATCCTGGATCTTTGCAGCCATCTGTAGAATGAACCAGCAGGTGAAAGATCTCTCTTTCTCTCTCCCTCTCCTATCTCTCTCTCTCTCACTTTGACTTTAAAATCAATAAATGAATCTTTTAAAAAGATCAACTATTTTCACCTGGATGAAGAAAATGACTAACTGTAACATTTAGATGAACAGAGAATCTTACTACTTTGCTTATTCTTCAATTTGGGAAGAAAAATCTGTGTTGACATAGGTTCCTATTACTTGTGGAAGAAAAATTTAAAATAAGAATCCAGAATTTTAAGCAACACATACAGGCATCTGAGTCAAATCAAGTCACTGCTGGTAGATATCATTGGCCAATATTCCATGAATGCACACATGAAAAAAAAAAAAAAACTGTATTCCTGGAAATCATCATCTAGTGGAAAAAAATGCAACCAGCAGGATGGTGGCTTCAATCTAGTCAATTCCAAAAGGTCAACCAATTCTGTTAGCACTCCAAATATGTTGACATTTCTTTTTTGTTGTTGTTATTATTTAATGTTTCTCCAAAATATTTTATTCCATGTTGTAGGAGATGGTTTAAGACACTTGAATTGAATTTTATTTTGAAAATAATACAAAATAAGTTCTATCTCCTAACGTCAAAAAGATTTAAGATTTGTATCATTACTTTTGTGAACCTTTCATGTTTTCAATCATTGTAATAAATTATAAAACCTTAGGACACAATTAGTGTAAGGCCACCATAAAACACACCTAACACTGGGGTTAACTCCAGTATGCTGACATTTCAAGAACAAAGAAATTAACAATATGCATGGTTCCCAGGCTAGAGATTAGACATCTTCTGAACATTTTCTATGAATGCTACTATTCTTTAAACGCTATCTCAGTTTTATAGCCCTGAACATCTCTTTAATCATTGGCTAACCTTCTTAACTTTCAGGAGAAAATAAAGAGGGATAGATGGACTGTGCTCAGAAAATTAAGATGGTGCTATAGAACCCAGGGTGGCATTGGTTTCCACAAAATTGCTAAAGGAAACACAATATGAACCAAATGCATGAATATTCAACTTTTGAAAATTAACTTACAAATGATTCACAGAACTGCAGTCCTGGTACAACTGCTAACAAAAATCAGTACTGCAATAACTGTTAATCAACAGACTACATCTATTGCCTATAAGCATAAATACTTTCACAATCATTAAACAAAAATCTTGTATAGACACAAAGTTTACATTTCCTTTAGGATTTGACCTAAAAGAGGTGCTAGATAAGAAATAAAGAGGCATAAGATACAGCTATGGATTTCAAAATTAGCATTTTTTTTTCCCATTTAGAAAGCACTAGGACTTGAGCCAAAGCAAGGGCAACAGCATTCACAGAAACACTATAAATGCATGGAGAAATAATTGCTCTTACCTCATGGAACAAAAACGTGTGTATATTTAATACCAGACCCAGAATTTTTTCTTTCACAAGCACAAAGGAAGTATTTTCTATGTATATGCACTGTCCTTAACTTCCAGGAATAATTATAAATTCTTGCGTGAACTTGACTCAAAAGTTAATTTGTATCAGTTCAAATACTAATCTTTTCAAAAATATTTAAAAATCAGTGGTAAAGCTTGATTTCTGGCACACATCAAAAACCCAGCAGAAGCCAACAAACTCATCCATTGTATGGTGAAGTCCGATTGCCTCTGTGGAATTAGCTCAATATTACACTTGTGAATACATGAACTTCATCCCAAAGGAGATTGAGGTGGAAGACAGGTGGATCCACTCATTATCTTCTTCATAATGGCAGGATTGTGTGTGTTAATGATTGTACGGGATTATTTTTGTTTTTCTAGTTTGTGTTGTATTGTATTGGAGAAGCAAGATTTTCTTTAAACTCAAAGAATTTCACAGTAATGATTCATATAGAAACCCATGGGCAGGAGGGAAATTGTCACTCTACTGAACACTCACTGTTAAAAACTATCTAGGAAATTCTATTTCATAAACTAACTACATATTAAAGAACTAATTTTCTACTGTCCCCCCCCTTCCTTCTCAACTCAATTGAAATCTTGTTATTTTGATAAGTAACAACTTATGTAAAGATTCAATTCTGGTAAAATCTTCTCAATTTCTTAAAATACTACTTTTTTCACAGGGACATTGCCACGGACATCTTGTATTCTTCACTACACACAATCATGTCCTTTCCTGCTAACAATACCACCTATGGTTTTCTTCCAAGAACAAAACTCCTTCCCCAACACTGCATAGACCCTTGGTTACATTCAATCAGACATCATCCTCTAGCCAAGGAGTAGAAAATGCCCAGGTCAGGTAGACTGCCCCGCGAATCTGAAACTTGTGTCTAGCAATGAAAGGATGGAAAATTGCTCCAATGATTTAATTCCAATAACATGCCCTAAAGAAAGGGGTCATTTGTCCTACAAACTGTATTCCAAAAGGGTACCCAGATAGATTTTAAAACTTCATTATTTAACTTTTACCTTGACTATAGGGGTTACTGGAATACCTACTAGTCAATACATTTTTCCTTAAGTTGGCTAGAGAAGCTGCTTTTATTTAACCAAAATCTCCTACTGATAGAAATAAAACAGTATGGTCACACTGAGATCAATTTTTCCCTTCAAAATACAGTGTAAGGTGCTAAACTGATGGAACAATCTATTATATTTATGTTACAAAGACCTTTAAACATGAGAGAAGTATTTGGCTGTTTTTCCAAGAAATCTTAAGAAATAAAAAACACAGAGTAAAAACTTTAGCTATTCATCTCATTTTTTCTATTAAATGCACTGCCCAAATGCATAATGCATTTCATGATCCATTATAAAGATGATGAAAACAGCAGTAAGGAAAACATTCTCAACTTTCAAACATGTTCGACTACTATTCATAGCAAAAATGTGTCAATCTGTTAACACAGAAGTCTTTATAAAGTTAAATTGAGCCCCATGCAAAGTCTCCAATTTTATTTGCCTTGAGGTTTTTAAATGACAGTTACTTTACCTTCAGTGGCTCCTTCTTCTTACCATCCAAAAAAAACATTGTGAGAACCAAGCATATATTAACTGTGAAATTCTAAGAAAGTGTTGATGCTATCATTCTATCATTGCTATATATATTTTTCCCTACAGTCAACACAGAAGTACTTTTCTGTATTCCAGTTCACTTAACAACTTATCTGGAAAAGAAGATACTGGAATAACCAAGGTAGAAATAATTACTGTGGTTGATGTGGGTTCATAGTATCTGAAGAGGGAAAGTTTTTCATAAGATGTTACATGAAAAGACTACATGGTAAAAATGAATTCTGTTGACCAGCAACTCAAGGGAAGAAAATTAATTCCTTTTATGCTTTTTAGCTAACTCAATTAAATCCCTATCACTGCAGTAACAATTTCTCCAAATTTAGCAGTTTACAACAAGGATCATTTTCTTACAGTCTTGGGAGTCAGAAGTCTGAAATGTGTGTCTCTGGGCTAAAATAAAGATGTTGGAAGGTGCATTCCTTTTTGGAGGCTCTAGGGGAGAATTCATTTTCTTGCATTCTCCAGCTTCTAGAAGTTTCCCCCATTTCTTGACTTGTGGCTCCTTCCATCTTCAAAGCCAGCAGTGACCAGTCCAGCATTTCTCATATGCCATCACCAACACTGGCACCTCTGCCTCCATTTTCCACATTTAAAGCCTTTTACAATTACATTGGGGACATTCAGACCACCCAGGATAATCCTCCTATCCTAAAGTCAGCTGATTGGAAACCTTCATTCAATCTGAGACCTTAATCCCCCTTGCCTTCATATAATACAACACATCTACAAATTCTGGAGATTAGGATGTGAAGACCTTTGCAGAGCATTGTTGACTCTAACACCTAGATTTTTTTTTCCTATTTTATTCATAAACATAACTCTAAAGGTTACTATATGGGCTTCTCAAATTAGTGTCAAAATTGTTCAGTCCAAAGGAACTCACTGCTGTATTTTTTTTTTTTTTGACAGGCAGAGTGGACAGCGAGATAGAGAGAGACAGAGAGAAAGGTCTTCGTTTTCCATTGGTTCACCCTCCAATGGCCGCCATGGCTGGTGCACTGCGGCCGGTGCACCACGCTGATCCAATGGCAGGAGCCAGGTGCTTCTCCTGGTCTCCCATGGGGTGCAGGGCCCAAGGACTTGGGCCATCCTCCACTGCCTTCCCGGGCCACAGCAGAGAGCTGGCCTGGAAGAGGGGCAACCAGGACAGAATCTGCTGCCCTGACCGGGACTAGAACCTGGTGTGCCGGCGCCGCAAGGCGGAGGATTAGCCTAGTGAGCCGCGGCGCCGGCCTGTATTTGTTTTAAAAGAAGAAAATAATCCAATAAAGCAATTTGTATTCATTTTCCTTTGATCAAAATCAATCATGTAAATAAATTATATTATAGTAGGAATGAGGTCTCTCAAAAGTCTCATGTATTTTCCTTAAGACTAGAGGCAGTGCCATCTAAACATTTTCTTAGTGGAATCTCCTCCAGCAAGTCAGTGCCATCTTGTCTTGAAAGTTTCCTCTACCTTCACTTCTAGGTCACTACATTCCCTAACCCTCCTTATAACTACTAAATTATTTCACACTTTTAATCATTGATTTCCTTCTGTTAAACTCTTAGCTGTTGGTATTCGGCAGACTTCATTCCCACTTTTTCCAAAGACAGGCATTTCTAACTCTACCTCTACAGCTACAAAAGTTTTCGAAAACTAATTCACAAGCACACAACAATTCAAGTACAATCTCCTGCCTTGATCTCTTTCTCCAAAGATCCAGACCACCAACTACCTATCAGACATCTCCACTTGGATGTCACACAAAATCCTTAAGTTTCATATATTTTTCTAAGACTGAACTCAGTGTCTTCCATTTCAAATACTTGTTTCACCTATTAATCTTTTCAACAAACGCCTACTAGGACTGAAGTATTTTTCTGTACTGGAGATAAAGGCACTAGAGAGAGCATCTCTGCCTTTATGAGCTGAAGTAAGCAAACAACAAAGCAAAGGTGCAGAAGCAATAAAAACACAGGGGTTGAAATCAAAGGTCCCATCCACTCAAGGTCTCTGGCGGGAAGTTTCAGAATCATCTTAGATGTCTGTTTCTATTCTGTCTCCATATTTAATCAGCAAACAAGCTCCATCTTTTCTACCTCTTAAGTGAATTCTTGGCTTTATTCTCTTCTTTCTCATCATATTCTCGACTTCAGATTTCAACACTCATTTCATAGACAACTTGATATTTTAGTAGTCACTCTTACTAATTCCTAGCTCTCAAATCCTGGGAGTCACATATATAAGGGTCAATACTGCTATCAAGGTTTTCCTGAAAACAGTTGTTGAAAATCTTTCATATTCAAGCTTCAATCAATCTACCCATTTTTGTCTTCTACCAGAGCCCACATCATTTATGCTGCAATTTATCTGTTTATGCTTCTGTTTCCCTAGTGGACTATAAATTCCTTGAAGGTAAAGAGCTTATTCAGCTTTGTTTAATGAACCTGACGCATGGAATGAGTAGCTATTTCTGAATTAAGCTACACTGAGATGACAATCCTGGAAGGGCTCAGCAATTTGCATCTTCTATCCCAAATGCAGATAGCAAATTATCTAGGATTCCCACTATCACTGTCACAACTGAAAGCATTCTTTCATCAGTATAAATTAAATCAGCAGAATCTGTCGACCTAACTGCCTGCTATGTGTTCAGTGAACTAGCTGGAAATATAATCATTAAGCCCAGGTGTACAGCAGATATTTGAATACAGTCAAGTTCTATTTCTTTTCAAATAAGTGTGCCTCACTGACGAAGAAGGGTTTGATGGTGCATGTATTCAATGTTTCTATCATCCTCAGTTCTAAACATTAGATATTAACATTCCTAAAACCACCTTATTGCATTTAGTTTGCTTGGCTGATGAATGACATTTCATATCAACACTCCAGTCTCTGCAAGATTAGCATGCTTTTCTAGTCATGTCACTGTGTGCACTTGTGCATACTGTGTCCTTACTTCAGTGGTTAGCACATTCTTTCTGTAAAGGGTCACATAATAAATAATTTAAACTTTACAGGACATACAGTTTCTTTCATGACTACTGAACTCTGCCATTGTAGAGGGAAAGCAGCCACAGATAATATGTAAACAAATGTGCGTGGCTGTATTCCAACAAAACTTAATATATAAAAACAGGCAGTAGGCCAAATTTTGCTCATGGGTGGTCATTCTTCAACTTTAGATTTCCTTTAGAAAAATGAATAGAAATTTTAAAAAAGTGCCTGTAACACAAAGACTAACTTTCAAAAACTAAATTTAATTAAAATGAAACTTTCAAGCATTTGAAGTACTTAAGATGGCAAACCAGCAGCCCATGTCATACCTTTCATAATTTTTAGACTATGGGCTAAGTTTTTAAGGAATAGTGCAAAATGATGAACCAGATATGAAGTGGTATAAATACTTTGTAGACACTGTAGGTAAGGCACACGGCATGATTAGGAACCATGTACACACATTATAGTTCTTTGTTTTTAACAGAACTGGTTTGTTATGAGTAAATTTGACTCTCACTGATTAAAGTCCTAGAGTCTTTTCAGAAGCACTTTAAGAAAGAGCTATTTAACCAATTACCACAAAATTACTATGTTCAGTCAAAGGTGTAGTTGTAATCCTCATCAAAGTTGTGTCACATTTCTACAGTGCAAACCACCGGTATAGCTGAGTGAAAGCCAACATAGTACTCTGCCCAGAAACACAGTTGAACCAATGAAGCACTATTTGAATAAGTAAAGTATAAACAAGAATCAGAACCAAGATGGCTACAGTCCCAGCCCCCACTAATTCTCTTAAAATTTCCAATTACCTTGACCCTGGACGATAGTGCAGAAATAAGCAATTGTCAAAAAAGCTGGAAGCAGCCAGTACCGCATCTTGCATTGAAAAATCTTCATTTTCTTTCCTGATTTTTACATAGATTGTAGCAGCTGCCTGAAAACAGAGAACACAAGGATATTTTGGGAAGACTGAAAAATAAAGTCTATACAGTCATCTAGGACAGGCAGATGTGCCAATCTGAATTAACATGTCAGGACGTAATGAATCTCCTCAAGTATTGTGCATTTCACTCTAAAATAAAAGCGATGAAAGATTTGTTTTTAAAGATGCTAAAAATGGAGATAGTCATTTGAAATATTTGGGAGAAAATGTCAATATATACCTTATGTAAGAACATAAATTCATAGTGAATTTCCCAAATGGCTAAATTTCATAAGTTTAAATGAAATGAACATTAGAATAAATCACAATGACATGACAGTAATGTGCTCCTCCCATATTTAGCACATAAAGTTAAAACTCCTGCAATTGTCTTTTACTGACTATTAAGTACAAATAGACAGAATGATCAAAGAGAATTTGAAAAACCATCTTGTGCTGATATTAAGTTGCTAATGAGACATCTCTTTCTTGAGTTGAAGAACCTGTAATCCTTGAGTCTTTTCTCATAGCTCGTTTTTTCCTAGTTTATGTGAATTTCAAACTCTTCTAAATTTTTCTTTTTCATTAGGTATAAAAGAAAGAAGAGCTATAAGAAAAAGAAAGATAAAAATAGACAAGGAAAGAATAAAGGAAGGAAAGGAACAAGGGATAGGGAGGAGAAAGAGAGGAACAGAAAGAGGAAGGTAGAAAGGTGAAAATTGGGTATTAATTTAAAGGTCAGTCATAGGATGAGCACTTCTGTACAGCGGCGAAGGTGCTATTTAAGGCACCCATAAGACACACTTGGGACACATAACAGAATTCCTGGTGTCAAGTCCTAGCTCCACTCCCAATTCTAGCTTCCTAAAAATGTGCACCCTGGGAGGCAACAGGGGATGTTCAATCAGTTGCCACCCATGGGGGAACACAGATTGGGTTCCAAGCGGCTGGCTTCAGTCTGGCCTAGCCGCAGCTGCTGCAGGCATTTGGGGAGTGAACCAGAGGATGAAAATCTGTCTCTATTTCTCTTTCAGAAAATAAAAATAATAAAAGGACAATCTGTAGAATATGATTTATTACAAAGGAAAAATTATAAGTACTATCCTTAGAGATAAAGAAGACTTTTCAATACCCAGGACGTATTTTTTTTTTAACTTTTATTTAATAAATATAAATTTCCAAAGTAAAGTTTTTGGATTATAGTGGCTCCCTCCCTCCCCAGTAACTTCCCTCCCACCAGCAACCCTCCCATCTCCCACTCCCTCTCCCATTCCATTCACATCAAGATTCATTTTGAATTATCTTTATATACAGAAGATCAATTTAGTATATATTAAGTAAAGATTTCAACAGTTTGCACCCACACAGAAACACCAAGTGTAAAGTACTGTTTGAGTACTAGTTATAGCATTAATTCACATTGTACAACATATTAAGGACAGAGATCCTACATGGGGAGTAAGTGCACAGTGACTCCTGTTGTTGACTTAACAATTGACACTCTTGCTCATGCTGTCAGTAATCACCCTAGGCTCGTGTCAGGAGTTGCCAAGGCTATGGAAGCCTTCTGAGTTCACCAACACCCAGGATGTATTTTAAATCATATATCCATTCACTCACTCATTCCCCAATACCATTCCATAAAAGGATTTGAGGCAACATAGCAACACATAAAACATAACATATAAGGTAAGACTGCAAATCTAACATATAAAATATAGAACTCCACTTTAATTTTAGATAAACAGCAAATAATGAAAGCATAAAAATGTTCCAGGCACTATATGAAAAATGCATTGAATAAATTCTTCTAGTTTCATTTTCCACAAACTTTTTGAAGTAACCTTAATCCTGAAACAATTGTCCATTGTTCATATGAAATGAAACTTCAACTGGGCATCCTATATTTCACTGGCAACCCTAGTATAAAGGGAAATTTGGTGAGAAAATAAAAATTAGTTAAGGGAGCACAGAAAAAAAAATGACCCCAAACCAATGAATTTGCAGCCAAAAAAGAAAAAAAAAGGAAACATGCTAATATTTAAGGTTTATTATATTGCTAGAATAAATTTTAAAATGTAATTTTCTGGAGGGGAATAGGTTTTCCTGATACTGAAAGCTGAGTCCATTTTTCCATGGTTCATATATAAAAGATCCTTACACTTTATTCACCATAAAATGTATTGAGCCCCTGCTGTATGTTTTGACTGTCCTATGCATTCTACACAAATAAACTCCTTTATCCCACATATTTGACCATTCCAATGGAGGTAGAAGCTTCCCTGCCAGTGTTAGGTTCTCCAGCAAATCTAAAGTCAAAGTGGGGAAGGTAACTGCTTTCTGGACACTTGCCATAATGAATTCCTGGGGATCCTGCAAGAGGGCAGCCCACTGAAGACAGAGTTGATCAGGGCCATTTTACTGCATCCTGTTGGACCTCAACTCTACTTAAATCACACTGAACAATGCCAAGACAGCTCCCCCCTGGGAGGATCACATAACCCACAAAGGGAGGTCCAGGAGATGGCCTCAACTTGTAGAACACAGTGCTTCACTTAGGAACACAGCCCTTGTCTGCGGTTTGCTTTCCCAAGATTCCTGGAACACTGACACAATGTCGAATTATTTGAAGGCGAGAGCTAGGTCCCTGGGAGGCTAGACTTGGACAATGATGCGACTCAGGGATTCCAAGATTCTATCCATCTTGGTTTTGCCTCTGCAGAGAGCTCTGATGCCTGAATTCTGACAGTCCTGGACTGAAGTTGTGCAGCTCACTGATGCATTGGATCACCAAAGAATCCCTTTCAACATCTGCAAATCAGAAATATCCCAGAGTCCAAGGGCTCCTCAGCGGGAAGGCTGGGGGGGGGGGGGGGCTCTCTCATCAGCTCACTTGTCTGATTGTGTCTGCATATTATATTATATAACTTTGTGCTTTATATAACATTCAATTTGCATAGCTACTTTTTGAAATTATATTAATAACCAACCTTTAACAATTAGTTTTCTTTTCATAAAGGGTTATGGTATCAACATTAGTTTAGCTTCAGAGAATAAACTAGAAAGTTTTCTCTATTTTCATAGTTTTGTAATTGTCAAAGTAGCATAAGACTGACACAGAGGAAATGGGATAAATGGTGAATAAGTTTTTGATGATCTACAGGAGGAAAAGCCCCAGGAGATGCTTAGGATCCCAATTCCACAGGACAACTAAAACAAGATTAGAAGATTACCCAAAGATGTGAGCAATCCTTACACAGACAGAAGACAGGCAGACAAGGGATTTGGCAGGTACAGCTTCAAGCTTCAATTCTATCTGATCAGCACATCAGTCAATCTGCCAGTTATACAGACAGCTGTCCACAACACCCAAAAGAATACACTCTCTTAACTCAAATGAAATTTTTTTAAATTCTCTGCCCCAAACACCATAACTGTTGGTTTCACACAGAACAAAAGCAAAGAGAGGAAAAACTACATTTGACCACCTTTGCCTTTTCTGGCATTCAAGATGCCATCAGGAGACTAGCAGCAGATACCACATGATACTATTTCAACAGTGGGCAGGGGTGGTGGGAGGAAGGAGGGGTCTTTTAAGTCACAACCCAATAAACAGCCTTTCTCTGTTCTCAGAGCACGGAGTTGTGCCCAGGTGTGCTGAGGCCATAATTAATGTGTTACATTGGAAGATAATCTGCATTTCAAGTACTTTAGCTTAATAAATAGGTAGATGCTATACTAGTGTTGGCAACTTTTTTTATTATTTACATGGAAAAAGATTGTAGTCAGGGCCTATCTTTAAGTTCTTCTTTTTTGTTGTTTATTTTAAATTAAGATGAGTGATACCATATTGGAAGTGGAATTTTAGTTTTCTCAAGCTTTTCTGCCAAGTCCCAAATTCTTGGACAGTACAGTGGAGGCAAGAAAAAAAAATCTCAGTTCCTATTAAAGTGCCATGAGATATTTTAATATTTACTAAAATGTCAAGTCCTAATTTGCTGAAATTTTGCCCAAAATCCTGCACAACACAAATAACTTTCTTGATTATTTGGGGGGAGGGGTTGGTTTTAAAACGTTAGAAAAGGCTACTTAGTACTGAGTTCAGAAAGTATAAACCATATTTGAGGGAAGTTGATAATGTTTAGTACAAGTTTTCTCAAAACACTGTACCACCTTTAAAATCAGTAACTTAAAACCAGCCCCATTAGTTCTAATTTGCCCTTCCTCGACTTTGTATGTTTGTCTTATTTAATCTCACTTTTACAACTAGCTTTAATAAGGAGCAAGGACCCCAAGTACAACACTAAAATGTGCTCACAGGCACCCATGAAACTCCCAATCTAACATAGAGCTAGTTTTATCAAAATTCCTTAAAATATTTATCTTAAAGTGTTTATACACCACACACGGGCACACACTCTTGCCAAGACTTACATATATATACACATCCAAACTTTCGATAACATTCTATTTAATCATTGCTGACCCATGAAAAAATAAAACTTAAACAAAATGGGTTTTAGCCACCTGGGTACCACGTATCCAGTAGTTCCAGGCTTTGAAAGAGACTATTACTTATAGTCTATTAGAATTTTCAACAATCACTATTGAGAGTCCTACTCTATAACCAAAGCACTGTGTTCGATACTAAGGAAGATATAAAACTTCACACTTTGGTGAGATCACTTATAACTAATTGAAAATAAAGACTACCTGAAAAGCCCTCAGGGAGGTCCCTTACAATTTAATTGCAAAGGGGAAACATAAGGAAACATATAGAAAAGTTGAACAAAATAAGCATGAAGTACAGTGAAGAGTCGGCACATGGTTAGCAGCGTGTTAACAACAAGTTAAAAGAACTTAGAGGAAAGGGGATGGTATCAATGAATTTGCTACTTGGGTAGATGCTTAAGGAGGAAGGAGAATCATTTTAAGGTGTGGGACTCACCTGGCAAGAGGGTTTAGTCAAAAACTGAATATCCAGATAATAACAGAGACAATAATTATTTGCA